AAAGAGGACAAATTCAGTGGTGCTATTTTCCTTCAACAAAGTATATGGCTTGTTTATGTTTGCTGGAATATTTAAATAGTGAATGCAAAGATGGTCTCTGGTTGCATTTTTTCTAAAGGCAGACAAATGGTTAGTCCCTAAAATGCCTAAAACTGGCTTCCTTGCCAATTTCCAAAGTATGGTCTTCAAATACATATGTTTTGGAAGGGATAAAAAGATTTTTTTTTTTTTTTACAACCTCGAGCGTTGTGAAATAATAGAAGCATCATACACAACAAATTATTTAGTTTAAAAATGATCTAAAGGGGAAATACAGCAGCTAAGAGATTATGTAACATGGGGGAGGGGGAGGTAAGGGAAAGCTTCTCCAAATGAGTTGCTTAAGTGAAGATCTCAAGTGTACGAATTAGCTCAGAAGAGTGAGGTTAAAAGCATCACACACATCCTATGTAAGTTCTGAGATGGGTATGTGTTGTAATGTTCTAGGACCAGACGGCAGGTCCTGCCAGTCTCCTCTATTGTGATGAGAAGGCAGGAGAAGCTAAGTGCCAAGGCTAGTAGTTTTGGCAGAGCAGGCTGAGGTGGTTCCTATCTAATGATTTCTATTTTCTCTGTAGCTAGGTGGTCGGGTAATTTGCTAGAGCGTACAGGGGAAGGTGTTAAGGATAGCTAGAGGCTCGCAGAAACTCAGCATGATACATCTGAGATTGCTAGTATAAAAAAAATACAATTGTTTTTTATACAGTGCTGCTCTATCCTGCGACCCTGATAAACTTAGTATTAGCTCTAAAAGCTTTAATATTGATTCTTTGGCATGTTCTACATAGGTCATCATCCTGTGCATAAACAAAAACAGCTTTATTTCTCCCTTTTAAATGTGGAGGTCTCATTTCTTTTTCTTCCCTTTTCGCATTGGCTAGACCTTCCAGCACAATGTTGAAGACAAGTAGCGAAAATGGACAGCCTTGCCTAGTTCCTGATCTTAGGGGCAAAGCATTCAATCTTTCATCATTAAGAATATTGGCAACTGGCTTTATGTACTTACTGCCTTTTATTGCCTAGTCTTAGAAGTCTCATGTGTCTCTACTGCACATGCTCTATGAGTTGAGGCAGCCACAGTTACAAGGGGAGGGACAAAGGCTCCACTTTTGAATAGGGAATGATAAGGTTCTGCATGAGCATGTGAGACCAGAAATAGACGTTTCAATTTTGAAAATACAAATGCTACAGCATCTTAATGATGTATCTCCTCATATGGCATATTCTCCCTTTTCCTGCTTTACCTAGGGGAATTCTATCCATGCTTCTCATATCCTGTGTGAAATATCTGATTATTCCAGCCCTCATTGATCTCTCTGCTGAAACGTTATCAGACTTTAGTCTATTACTGAAACTTACACTATTATCATGAATTATGTTAATGGAATAATAATATGTTTTATTCATCATTATATCCCCAAGGCCTAACACAGTACCTGTTACATAGGGTAAATCAAATAAAAATTTAAAGAAATGTATGGATTATAACTCATCATTTCATTATGTAAGAGTCTGTACTGATTGATGTATTTATGAATCTATCTAACATCTGTGCCAGGCACTGTGCTAGGTTGGGAATACGATGTCAAGTAAGACAGACCCTGATGCGGTTAACAGAACTGCGGACAGGGTAGGCACAGGTGTCTTTGTGTACTTGGGGGTGGGGTGGGGGCAGAGCATCTGCAGTGCATATAGAGTTCTTTACCTGAGATGCCTCTGGTACTTCTTAGAGATGTTCAAGAAACAAGGAATATTATGGGTCTTGTGGTCAGGTGAGAGGTCTGATCTGGAGATACAGGTATGAAAATCAGTGTTCAGGGAACAGATCAATCACTGATGTGGATAAGATCATCAAGGAAGAAGAGTCAAAGATATATGAAAAAGTATATTCACTATAGCATTATTTATAAAAGTGAAAAAATTATACACAAATGTTCTACCACTAGGGAATCAACTAAATAAATTATGGCATATTAATAAAATAGTGTTGTGCAGTCGCAAAAACAGTATTTTAGAAAAAATATTTATTGACAAGGAAAATAATTCATGATCCATTATACAGAAGAAGTTAGGGTATAAAAACAGCATATAAAGCATGGTCTCAAATTTGTAAAAAGAAATGTGCTAATGTTGGTTATTTCTGAATGGTGGTGACAATCTGGTTGACTTTATTTTCTGCTCTATACTTTGTAACATCTTAGTTTCTAACATGAACATAGGTTTTATTACAAAAAAGTGTTATTTCTTAATCTCAAATATGTAGCTGCTAATGTTTACCTGAGCAGTGTGGTTAAGATCTGAACACAGATTTTGTGGATACAAGGTTTTAATCTTTTAAAATTTTAGACTTTTAATTTAGAATTACTGATTTTAACCTATAGCAGCTATAGGTCTTCTCACATTCTCTAATTTAATCATCCCAACAACACTGTATGGTAGACACTATTATTTTATAGATCTGGCAACAGGTCAGGTCAAGTAGTTTACCCAAGGTTACAACGGCGCTAGTGAAGCTGTGGAAAGAGGACCAGGTCCTGTTTGACTCCAATATGCCACCCTTTACCACAACTGACACCCGGCATCCCAAGACACCTTCACATAGGTTATATTTCTCAAACTTGTCTGATCAAAACAATCACTTGGAGGGTGCTTGCTAAGCATACAGGAATCTAAGAGAGATAAGTAGATAGAAAGTGGGAGGGTTATACAAGGATTCTATCACCGTATCTCAGACTTCCTGAATAAAAATTTCCCAGGGTGGGGGAGGAGAGAAGACAAGCTTGAGATTTTTTTTTTTTTCTCTTGAGACAGTCTCGCTCTGTGGCCCAGGCTGGAGTGCAGTGGCACGATCTTGGCTCACTGCAAGCTCCGCCTCCTGGGTTACACCATTCTCCGGCCTCAGCCTCCTGAGTAGCTGGGACTACAGGCGCCCATCATCACGTCTGGCTAATTTTTTTTTTTTGGTATTTTTAGTAGAGACAGGGTTTCACCATCAGGATGGTCTCGATCTCCTGTCCTTGTGATCCACTCACCTCGGCTTCCCAAAGTGCTGGGATTACAGGCGTGGGCCACTGCGCCCTGCTGACAAGCATGAGAGTTTTTAAACAAGGGCCCTAAGTGAATTTACTGTCAGGCAAGTCCGTGAAATTCTATTATCACATTAGATAACTGATACTCAGTTTTAGGGAGCAGTAATCAATCTCAGAGAGATTAAGAGATGAGCCCCAAAATCAGATTAAGCTACAGTACATGTTGGCAAAGACAAAAACTACCTAATTCAACTGCAATTAATTTTCAAATTTAAGACTCATTTGTGGAATTTCAAAGTCCAAGATAAATTTGCAAAGATACGGGGTCACATGAGCAACTCTGGCACGTGCACCATAATACATTCTATGGTCACTCTAATTATAACCCTTTCAGAGTAATCAACTGGTTAATCTGAATTTGGCTGTCTGAGTTGGGTGTTCATTTGTCTGTTTATTATTTATGTATTTATTCGCAAAAAAATCTCACGTTGTAAGTTAAATAAGGGCATACCATATACTGGTACAAGGAACAGTCAAAACTGGCATAGGGCAAAACTGCTGCGGCATCTTCCTCAAGGCCTGATTTCTCTCTTCCCAGTTCAGCAACTGTGCAGCTGAACATGGTGGAGAAATAGAACCACAATTATGCGGAACAAACTTACTTCAACTTTAGAATAATAACCTCAAGTGGGACTTTAATAGTGGCATCTGTTCTGTGACCCATTTTTGCTTACACTTGACCAGTTACGAAGACGTTAACAGAGGTTTAAGCTGTGCCCTCAGGCTCGTGGACGTGTGAAAAAAACCTTCAGGGAATTTAAGCTAAAATCATGGTCTAACAGGTGGTAGAATCGATATTTTTAAAGGGTAGGGGTAGCACCGTTTTAGTTTTCCCTTAAATATTATTACTGACAATGACTGTAAGGTCTAGCTTCACACACAGGAGCTACAAATATCTGCTTGCTTTAACTTAGTAAAGACTTAAGGCAAAATCCACTCTATCATCTCATTCCAGATACTTTCGGTATTCCAAAGCTACATAAATTTATTAATTTTCAGTTTTCAGTTTCAACTTAGGCTGAATTACACTTGAAAATACTTACTGCCAGGTATGGTGGCTCACACCTATAATCCAGTGCTTTGGGAGGCCAAGACAGGAGGATCACTTGAAGTCAGGAGTTCAAGACCAGCCTGGGCAACCAAGCAAAACCTCTGTCTCTACAAAAATTAAAAAATTAGCTGAGCACAGTGGCATGTGCCTGTAGTCCCAGCTACTTTGGAGACTGAGATGGGGGAGTTGCTTGAACCCAGGAGGTTGAGGCTGCAGGGAGCTATGATCGCACTACTGCGCCCCAGCCTGGACTATGGAGCAAGACCCTATCTCTTAAACAAAACAAAGCAAAACAAACAACAACACTTTGAGGTAGGTACTATTAGCATTCCCATTTTACTGATGAGGAAACCGAGGCTAAGAGCTTATATAACTTTGCCCACAGACACAATACTACTAAGTGGTGGAGCCAGTACTCAAACTCACTTTCTGTCCTATTCTAGGACCTGTACTCTCAACTACACAATAATGCCCATTCTTCTTTTGTTCTTCACTTATGTGTGTGGACTCCAACTACCCTTTGATCTCATTGGGCCCTACAATCTATATGAATCTACGACCTTTTCACTATTTCTCACCTGCTCATGTCCTAACATGCCACCTGGCTCAGCTTTCACGGTCAACCATCAGACCTGTTCCCTTGTGCACACATTGACTCCCTTGCTTCTCTTTCATGTTGTCGTATGCTCTTGGCTAATTCCGACGCTGGCTAGATCCAACTCTCTGCCTATTCCACACCAGCACTTTTACAGGTGAACACAGTGGAGAAAAAGAACCACAATCATGCTAAACGGACTTATATTTTTTTAATACCTTTTAAAAAATATATGGAATGCTTCACGAATTTATGTGTCATCCTTGCACAGGGGCCATGCTAATCATCTCTTATTTTTCCAATTTTGGTATATGTGCAAAGCAAGCATATAAATAGACTTAACTTGAAAATTAATAACCTCAAGTGGGGACTTTAATAAGGCGACTGCCGATCATATAGTATTTCTCAATTCATCAACTCTCTCACTCTTTTATAAGGCTATTTCTGCAAACCTCAATACCTTCCCCCCTCTTCACTCTCAGCTGATGACCTGGCTTCCTAATTCACTGAGCAAAAAAGAAAGAAAGATGATAAACAACTTGACCAGCTCCCATTAGCTGTTATGTGGTGTGTAGGCCTTTTCTCCCGCTATTATGAAGGAACTCTGTGCTCCCACCTAATCCAAGCTTCCACTGTGCTCTCACACTCTTTTCCCTCTCGTCCTCACAAGGACTTTGTTTTAGAAATCGTTCCTTCTTCCTGCACTGCCAAGTTTTCCTGTCTCATCTACCAACACACATTGAAAGATCCTCTTAATCGCATTTCCGCCTCCATCTACTGCTTCATCTTTCTCTTTCTCTTTACGGCAAGCCACTCTGGGGTTTATTTTTTGTTTTTCCCATTTTTTCCCTAAACTCACTCTAGTCAGGTTTTTGTGTTTACAACAATGCACCAAAACTGTTCTTATAAAGGTCACCAGTGACCCTCATATTGCCAAATCCAATGGTCAATTCTTAGTCCTCATCTGACTTGACTTCTCAACAGCATCTTTCATAGTTGATTACTCTGTCCTTGAAATGCTTTCTTTTTTTTTTGTGACTGAGTCTCGCTCTGTCGCCCAGGCTGGAGTGCAGTGGCCGATCTCAGCTCACTGCAAGCTCCGCCTCCCGGGTTCCCGCCATTCTCCTGCCTCAGCCTCCCGAGTAGCCGGGACCACAGGTGCCACCACCACGCCTGGCTATTTTTTTGTATTTTTAGTAGAGACGGGGTTTCACTGTGTTAGCCAGGATGGTCTCGAACTCCTGACCTCGTGATCCACCCACCTCGGCCTCCCAAAGTGCTGGGATTACAGGCGTGAGACACCGCGTCCGGCTGAAATGCTTTCTTTACCTAAATTTCACAACACTCTGCTTTCCTGGTTTTCTTCCTACCTTTTAGCTGGTCCTTCTCTGGTTTTCCTCATCTCTCCACCTCCAAGCATTGGTATAACTCACCGCTCCGTCCTTTGACTGATCTTTTCTACCTAAACTCATTTTTGAGATCTCATCAAGTATTTTAGCTTTAAATAGCACGTATATATTGAAGATTCTTAAATTTACATCTCTAATGTCTAGGGAGTTTTCAGGATAGTGAAGACATGAGACTATTTGGAAGTTTAAAGAATGAGACAGTGGAGAGAAAAAGTGATGGAACTAGAGGAGGGGGCGGAGGAATCAGCCTGAGCAGGGCAAGAGCACTACTTCCAGTTTAAATGGCCAGAAAGCATGTCGACAACTTCTCGGGCAGGAAGGGGTGATCTGAAGAACTCCCTAGCTTATGGCCTTAATTTGCTCAGTTAAAAATAGGTGAAATAATACTATAAATGTGAAAAAAGGATGTGATAAAAAGTCTGAAAAAAGAAGCAAGAGTTGAGAAGAGCTGACGAAGGAAATAGGAGAAAGCTAATTCGTGTGTAAAATGATTTGAAAACTCTAGGTGAAGACTATGAAATTAGTGGCTCCAGTCTACACAATCACATAATTTTCTCCCAAAGTTGATAGCAGGCTAAGTCCGACAAGAACAACAAAGGGGAAAGATATTTGCAAGTAGTTATTAAACAGTGACAAAATGACAAACCTGTAGCTACAGGGGAGGAAAAATACCCAGGAATAGTGGAGAGCTTGGGAATAATGGGATAGTTGAGACTAGAAGCTTTTATTAAATCTGAGAATAGGTGCATTGGGTATTAGAAAATGGGCAGGGTGGGGACAACAGCAAGTTGTTGCCAGAGAATGGGATTCTGCAATTTGAGATTTTAAAACTGGAGCAACTCCAGGTAATGGACATGGGAAGTGAGTAAGAATGAAGGCCACTGGAAATGAGAACTAAAGAACTATAAGGCTAAAGAAATTCAGCAGAAAAGAATGTAAGAAGGGAAATGGCATTCTGGCTAAATAAGCTGGGTCTCACGGCAGCACATTTGATGGGTTTGGAGTGCACAGTGGAGGACTGAGGATGACACCGGTCTCCCTCCAGCCTACATGGGACCAGGAAGAATGAGTGTCTACCTGAAAGGAGCATGGGGAGATGGTTTACATAAGCCTCATTAAGTACTATTAATAAAGTATATTATTTGCAAAAAATCCAAAAAGATAAATACCAGGTAGAAATCAGTTTAGGATCTAATAAATCTTAGACTGTTTTGTATCTTTCTGTTTCTTCATGGAGATCATGGGTCAGTGGGTTGGCCCTGTTTTTCCTTATTTTGCTGTTCATCATGATCTGTAGGAATGCAACCAAGATTATTATTCTTCTTATCCACGATGAAAAATGAAGATGAAGTACATCATATGCATAAAGGATGTATTATTTGGCCTGCAAAATTACTGAATTCTTGATTTAGCTAAATGTCTTCTGATAGTTTAATTGCATTCCAATGAATAATAAAAGTGGAAACATAATCTTTAATCATGGTTTACTTTAGTTCTTTGAATGTATTTACAATGGCTATTCTGAAGTCTTTTTCTGGTATATCTGATATCTGGTTGCAATCACAAGCAGTTTCTGTTACCTGCTTTTGTCCAGTAGGGTCATATATTCCTGTTTCTTTGCATATTTCATAATATTTTGTTATAAAAACTCACATTTCAGATAATACACTGTAGCAACTCTGAGTACTATTAACAATTCCCTGCTCCCCAGGGTTGTTACTGCTATTTGCTTATTTGCTCTTTGTTTAGTGCCAAGCTGGACTGTTTTAATGAAGACTATCGACCCCAGTGTTAAGCCTCTGACATTGCTCCTCAGGGAGGCAGTTTGGGGTATGCCTTCAGTCACCCTGGGATGACAGTAATTTGGGCAGCACTCTAGTTTCCTTTTTCTTGACCATACCTTAAGCTCTACTAATTTGGGGTCCTTTGAAGGAATAATTTCCATGGTCAATGTTTAATATTTGTAATGACCCCAGGAGGGCTCCTTACAGCTGTCTCTTTCGCAAAGCAGCCAGCCTACAGTTTAGCCTGTTATCTTAATTGAATTTGTCAATGTCCTCCAAATTACCTTTCACCACAACTTCCGCTTGTTTTTGAGTGTGGCTCTTAGGCTTGAACTTCTCCGTTTTCTGTTGACGATGAAGTCAGTTTCTCTGGGAAGAGATAAGGAGCTATTTGTTTTACCTGTTGCCCACACCCTCCACTTCTCACCCCACAAAATCTGTGGGCTGGGTTTTGGGGCTGGGAGTGGGACCAATGGTGTAACTTCAGGTCTTCTTGACTTGCCTCTCTCAGTGTGGAACCTGTCTTACAAGTTGAGACAAGAGCAATCAGGGTCCCAGTATTCTTAGTAGCACAGAGCCCAAGGTGGAGCTTCCATTTCACAGGTGAGGGCTGGGTGGGACAAGGGAGCTCCCACTTCTCAGTTGCACTCCCCAGAACTAGCCTCAGCAACAAGTAGCTGGGGGCAGGATGAGAAATGTTGATACCCTGTTTCTCTGGGAAGAAAGCCCTCTGAATGGGTACTGAGGAGAGAGGAAACACTCTGTTCTTGGCTGCACCAGTTTGGAATAAGTTTCCATTCAACAAACTGGGACAGGGTAGGGAGGGAGTTCTTAGTTCAAGCATCCTAGACTCTTACTTTTTTTTATAGATTTTCTTAAAGAGATGTTTTTTAATGTGCTGTATGACTCTAAGACCACTTCCAGAGACTTTGAAGGAAGGTCTTAAGATTTTTTACCAGTTTCAGTGGGAAGTGGGCCAATGGAGTTACTCATGCTGCCATGATGAAAGTCAATTGTTTAAGTTTGTTCACTTTTACTCAGTAAAATTCCATTGTGTGAATATACTGTAGCAGTTTATTTATCCAGTCTGTTATTAATGGACAGTTGAGTTGTTTCCAGCTTTTTTTGCTAATATAACACTGCTACTATAAGCATTCTTATACATATATCCCACTGCACAGGCGCAAATATTCCTGTTGTATATAGAGTATATACAGGAATGGGATTTGTGTATCAAAAGTTATGCTAATGTTTAACTTTATAAAACAGTTCTAAATTGTTTTCCAAAGTAGTAGTTTCTTTCTTTCTTTCTTTCTTTTTTTTTTGAGACAGAGTCTCGCTCTGTTGCCCAGGCTGAAGTGCAGTGGTGCGATCTTGGCTCATGGCAACCTTCTGGGTTCGAGCGATTCTCCTGCTTCAGCCTCCTGAGTAGCTGGGACTACAGATGCACGCCACCATACCTGGCTAATTTTTAGTAGAGACAGGGTTTCTCCATGTTGGCTAGGCTGGTCTTGAACTCCTGACCTCAGGTGATCCACCTGCCTTGGCCTCCCAAAGTGCTGGGATTACAGGGGTGAGCCACCGTGCCCAGACCAAAGTAGTAGTTTCAATTGGCATGTCCAACTAACAGGGTATAAAAATCTTAACTGATCTACATTCTCTTCTACCGCTGTCATTAACAAACTTAATTGTTGCTAATCTAATATGTACAAAATTATATCTTATTGTAGCCACTAACAAGGGTAAACATATTTATGTTCATTTTTTGTACACATTTCCTCTTCTGTGAATGCCTATTTATTACTTCTGTCCCTTTTTAAAAAAAAAATTGTCTTTTTCTTCTTGATTTGTAGTTTTCTACATATACTAAGTATTGTCTTCAATTTTGGAAGTTTTTGGCTTACCTTTGAAATTTCTCTAAGGCAAATCAATAGAAGTTCTAATTTTAACATGGTTGAATTTTATCAATCTTTTATGATAGTGCTTTTTGTGGCTTATTTAAAGAAGATTTCTCTAACCTAAGGAGACAAATTTTAAAATTATCTTTGAAAAATGTTTGCTTGTTTTCCACATGCATATCTAACTGTACTAGTACCATTCGTTGAACAGTCCCTCTTTTTCCACTGATTTATAAT